TGCAGTTATTTAAGAAATATCATTATTACTGTTAAACAGTTTAATTATTATCACCAAGTTATTTTGTGCTACCAGTGAAGCAGTTTAATGATGGCTATTATGTCATTTAAAGATTAACTATTATAATACAACTCTCTAAGAGCTGTAATAATAATTGTGTATTAGGGTGATTCATTTCCGCAAAGTTTTTGTTTTCTTCGGTGCTCAAGCAAAATATTAATCTGCATATAGAAAAAAAAATTCTCAACAAGTTTGAGCTCTTAATATCAATTTTAAGTACTTGCAGTTTAAATTTAAAGTTTTCCCATTTAAAAAGCATGTAAAAAAAATGTTTTTTTTTCAAATTTCTAATGCTTACCCACCTTTGACAATATTGCAAATCGGTTTAATACACCTTATGGGGAATTTCACGCTCTTTAAAATTGCTTTTGAGTTTTTTTTTGTAACTCGCATTGGTTCACCAGTAGGAGTCGTCAAAGGACAGTTTTTGAAAAAAATCGTTTTTTTTTTTAATTTTTTCTAACAAACCGCAAAAAGTAGGGAGAAAAGTTTTTGTTTTCTTCGGTGCTCAAGCAAAATATTAATCTGCATATAGAAAAAAAAAATCTCAACAAGTTTGAGCTCTTAATATCAATTTTAAGTACTTGCAGTTTAAATTTAAAGTTTTCCCATTTAAAATGCATGTAATAAAAATGTTTTTTTTTCAAATTTCTAATGCTTACCCACCTTTGACAATATTGCAAATCGGTTTAATACACCTTATGGGGAATTTCACGCTCTTTAAAATTGCTTTTGAGTTTTTTTTTGTAACTCGCATTGGTTCACCAGTAGGAGTCGTCAAAGGACAGTTTTTGAAAAAAATCGTTTTTTTTTTAAATTTTTTCTAACAAACCGCAAAAAGTAGGGAGAAAAGTTTTTGTTTTCTTCGGTGCTCAAGCAAAATATTAATCTGCATATAGAAAAAAAAATTCTCAACAAGTTTGAGCTCTTAATATAAATTTTAAGTACTTACTATTTAAATTTAAAGTTTTACCGTTTAAAATGCATGTAAAAAATATATATTTTTTTTCAAATTTCTAATGCTTACCCACCTTTGACAATATTGCAAATCGGTTTAATACACCTTATGGGGAATTTCACGCTCTTTAAAATTGCTTTTGAGTTTTTTTTTGTAACTCGCATTGGTCGATCCACCAGTAGGAGTCGTCAAAGGACAGTTTTTGAAAAAAATCGTTTTTTTTTTAATTTTTTCTAACAAACCGCAAAAAGTAGGGAGAAAAAAGGGCTGAATCATAAAAAAAAGTTATCCAACCAATATTTAATGAATTTACAGCCATTTTTATAACTGAAAACGTAAGAAATTGATAATTACCAACTCATAATGTTAGCCCTTTTTTCTCACTACTTTTGGCAATTTGCTCGAAAAAATAAAAAAAAACGATTTTTTTCAAAAACTGTCCATTGACGACTCCTACTGGTGAACCAATGCGAGTTACAAAAAAAACTCAAAAGCAATTTTAAAGAGCGTGAAATTCCCCATAAGGTGTATTAAACCGATTTGCAATATTGTCAAAGGTGGGTAAGCATTAGAAATTTGAAAAAAAAACCATTTTTTTTACATGCATTTTAAATGGGAAAACTTTAAATTTAAACTGCAAGTACTTAAAATTGATATTAAGAGCTCTACCTTGGTGAAAATTTTTTTTTCTATAGGTAGATTAATATTTTGCCTGAGCACCGAAAAAAAACAAAAACTTTGCGGAAATGAATCACCCTATTGTGTATACACAAGAATAATGAAAAAAATGCTAAGGTTATGAAATAGCTTTATTACAGTAACTATAGTTACTGTAATAAAGCTATTTCATAACCTTAGCATTTTTTTTCATTATTCTTCCCGCTTAAATTTAAACTACTATTTTTTTGATTTTTTTTGGGGTGGTTCTAATCGCTTAAATATAAATAAAAAAAATGATGCCAAGTTTCAGCTCTCAATATTAATTTTAACCTGGCCACCATCGCAGTCAAAGCTTTTAATGAAAAAATGCATGTATTTTTTGAAATTAAAGTTTATAACTTTGGTAATAATTTATGAAAAAATTTAAATTTCACAGAAATGTTATTTATAAAATGTAATTACATTATATTATAATGTATAAAAGGTTGCATTGAAAAAACATTTCTTGAATTTTTTTCAATGCATCCTCTTTTACATTATGTAGGTAAGTAATTACTAACTAAGTAACTAAATTCTGCCTAATTTTAAATATTTTTATCAATAATTATTATTACCAAAGTTATAAATTTTTAGTTTGATTTTAAAAATACATGCATTTTTCTATTGAAAACTTAAACTGGTGTGGGGGCTAGGTTATAATTAATATTTAGAGCTAACTTGTCCTGTATGATTTTTTTTTATTTATTTAACCAACCCCCCTAAAAATATAATAAAATAATAATAATAAAAATCTTAATAAAAATGTGTGTATATATGTATATAAAATAGTAAAACACTGTATGAGATCAAAAATGTTTATTAAAATAAATAAGAACTTCATGGTTTTAAAACCATTTAAAAGTATTTAACAAAACAACAAAATGTTTATTAAAATAAATAAGAATGTTTATTAAAATAATAATAAGCCTCCAAACCTATTTTTTTTTTAAAGCACTGAATTCTCTCCATTTCCATTGCACTACCCTATTAAAAATGCCATATAGAAACACAAAATAAAAATCTATATGGTTCTATCTGGTTCAATATAGGAATTTGAAACAGGCATTGCACTATTGAACCAGATAGAATTCCATACCTGGAAAACCATATAGAAAAGTGATTTCTATATGGATTGCCATATAGGTTCATATTGCTCTATCTGGCCCAATATGGTTTGGGTGTGAAAAAAATTATTACCATATAGATCCATATTTAACCATATAGGGGAATCTATATGGATTAATATGCAATTTTCGTTTAAATATATATACATTTTAAAATGGAATTCCATATTCAACCATATAGGGAAACCTATATGGAAAGACACATAAAACAGAAACCAGATAAATCCATATAAAAATCCCTAAGTTGTACACCCTATTAAAAATGCCATATAGAAACACAAAATAAAAATCTATATGGTTCTATCTGGTTCAATATAGGAATTTGAAACAGGCATTGCACTATTGAACCAGATAGAATTCCATACCTGGAAAACCATATAGAAAAGTGATTTCTATATGGATTGCCATATAGGTTCATATTGCTCTATCTGACCCAATATGGTTTGGGTGTGAAAAAAATTATTACCATATAGATCCATATTTAACCATATAGGGGAATCTATATGGTTTAATATGCAATTTTCGTTTAAATATATATACATTTTAAAATGGAATTCCATATTCAACTATATAGGGAAACCTATATGGAAAGACACATAAAACAGAAACCAGATAAATCCATATAAAAATCCCTAAGTTGTACATTTTAAAATGAAATTCCATATTAAACCATATAGATTCCAAAGTGTAAACCAGGTCGTTCCATATAGGACATATAATATATTATAGAACCATATAAATCCATATTAGTTTCCTTATCTGGATCAATATGGGTTCTATAGGGCATTTTTAATAGGGCATTTTAAAATGAAATTCCATATTAAACCATATAGATTCCAAAGTGTAAACCAGGTCGTTCCATATAGGACATATAGAACCATATAAATCCATATTAGTTTCCTTATCTGGATCAATATGGGTTCTATAGGGCATTTTTAATAGGGTATAAAAAGTTTCTATTAGCATTTAACACCATCGACCACTCCTCGCTCTCACGTTGGGTCGTTTGCCAAAAGTACAGCGAAACCAACGCGAAAATGATCGTTCTTAAAATATTTTAATAATAGTAATTAAAGTATTTAATAATCATTAATATTTGCATATAAACGGTTTAATAATGGTAATAATAAAAATAGTAATAAAACAATTTAATAACCATATTTAATCAATGTAATTGTCCTAATAATCCTTTAATTGGTTTAGGTATTTAACACAATAACCACAATAAAAACGTTTTAAGAATCCGTGTTTAACAATGACAGTGATAACATTGTTATAATAGTATATAAATGTATGATTGTTACAATCATATGTATTATTATAACAATTAAACAAGTATTTGTTAAAGTGTTTTGTTAGCTCATTTCTTTCAGTGAGGAAGACATTATGGAGGGGATAAATATTTTTTTATATTGTTTCTTATGTTTTTATATTTTTTATCTGGACCTTCGAGCCAAAGGGTTTTTGGTCCACTTTTTTTTATTTTTAAGGTATTGTGTATTCTTAAAAATAGAACAAAATATTATTAGAATAGACGCATTATGCTCTCAAAATTTGAAAAGTGGACTATCCTAAACTAAACCTTGAAGCCAAAGGCTATTAAGTCCACTTTTTTTAATTTTGTAAAAAATAGAAAAAAATATATGTATTATTTTGCTCCAGAATTTCGCCTACAACAATATATACATTTAAACCATACCATACCAGGTAAAGGTTAAAAAGTCCTTTTAACGTTTTAAGTTTAGTTTAGTATTAAATAAGTAAATATATAAAGAAAATATTTCCCAAAGTCTTTTTCTTCTCTTATTGGTGGATATCTAAATATTTATTTGCATTTGCCAGCTTTACCACCAACGACCACATATCATTTACAATGTTTAGCTAATTTCTGTTTTTAGTTTATAATAAAGTTTTAAAAATTTCAAACTTAATATTTTAAATATTAAACGTGTTAAAAAAGTATGCTAATAATTTTTTATTGTCAAATTTTAGAGGTCCATTGATATGGTTAATCCATCTACAACTGTAATATTTGTGGATGATTAATAATGAAGTTATAGGTGAATGCGGATAAAGAAACCTACAAATATTTTAAATTAATAGCCATTTAAAAAACTGACACTGTAATTTATTCTAGGTCTTGTAAATAAAATACACTCTATATAAAAACTGCACTTTTATTGTTATGATATTAATTAATTATAAGAGAGTACCTACAAAACAATTTACTTATCAATAGAAAAAACATCAATATTTGATTACAATAATTACACAGGCCAACAACTTTTCCAGGGTAATTTTGGAGCGCTGATTTAAAAGATATTGTAAAAAAACGTATACTGTAATCTAATGTAAAATAATTTTCTAAAAAAATCATATTTTTGGAATGTATTTTAGTAGTAATTTATGCAAGAAGGTTTTGTTTATTTTTTAAACATATTGTTAAACAGTGTCATTGTGTTTTGTTTTTTAATTCGTTACTTACTACAGAATTTATTTAAGGAGTCAAGTGCCAGGTGCAAATATGACCGTACGTTTTTACACGCGCGGTTGTTTTTTAAAGCCCGCTGCGCAATAGCCCGGTAAAGGGAACGGGAATCTAAACAGTAAAGGTGGGAGGGACTAAGAAACCACTGTGATCGATAGCGATTGCTGAGTCTCTCCAACCTTTACCGTTTAAGTTTCCGTTCCCGTTACCATATATTTGAATTAACATTTTAAAACATTAAATCATATGGAGAAAGGTATTAGAAATTATATTTAATTTTATTAAAATCGGACAAAAATTGTTCACGTTACAATACTGTAATAAAAAACAATTTTATTTCGTTACAAGCATGTTACAGGGAAAAACTTTATGAATGTATAAAATTATTATTATTATTATTATTACAGCGAGGAAATACGGTTAAGTATTTAAAAAAAATGTATACGGTTTTTCACAATATCGCAAAAACATGACCTAATTGGAATTAGCGCACTCATAATGCCCTAGAAAAGTTAATATATACAACGCAGCAAAATGGTTGACCAGTGTTATTTATAGCTCGTCAGATTCCGACGTAAGCATATCCAATACATTTTGGGGTTCACTTGCCAAAATAATTTCATCAAATTTATTTTTACTTTTAACATCATTTTCAATAGCCTTTCTTAAGTCTTCCATGGTGTCTACATCTGTTTTTTCTTTATTAAGTGAAGCTAATAAATCTTCACTTTTTTCTTGCAGCCTTGTTCTTTCACTGTCTTTTTCAGTGGTTTCAACTTCTTCTTCAGCACTTTCTTCATCTATACACTGAAACCCTGAAAGAATATCATCATCATCATTTGAAATATCTTCATGTTGCAGAGACATTAATGGAGACATTTTTTCGGATGCACCTTTCTCCTTTACCGGCGTAAATATTAAAGAACCAGTATATTTTTTAGCTATACTATTTATTTTTTCTCTTTCTTCATCAGTATCTACACTTAAACATGCTTTCTTATTCAATTTAATTGCTTTGATATCTGGACTTTTAATATTGCTACTCAAAGCATCATCATCTGAATCTTCATTGTCCTGAGCAAATTGATGTTTCCTTTTTCTATCTGAATTTAAATTGAGCGTTTTTTTATTTTTTTTTAATTGTTCGTTACTTTCTGTATCGCTGTTTGCTTCATTAGAAGAACGTTGACGTTTTTTATTTACGGTTTCTTCACTCGACGTTACTATACTTTCGGATTGTTCGGAAAAGGTTTCTTCAGATTTACCTTCCTCTTTATCAGAACAATTTACTTCTTCTTTGTTAGTAGTGCTATATGTTTCTTCGTTTGAAGAGTCGGAATTATCTGACGTCGAACTTTTTAAAGTGTTTTCTTCAGATTTATAAGAACAATTTTCTTCTTCCTTTTCAGCTGTGCTATCCGTCTCTGTGTTTAATGAGTCAGATTCTGATGTTGAACTTTCAGTATTATGGTCTTCTTGATCTTCAACACATGTGTTTTTTTCCTTTGAAATTAATTCATTTGAATCTGTGATGCACGTTCCTTTTTCAACGTCAATTAAATTATTTTCCAAATTTACAGTATTAACCATATTTTTAGTGGTATCTTCCAAATTATAAGTAGTATTTTCCTCAATTTTCGAAGAACCTCTACCTTTATTTTCAAACTTTTTGTCTTCTGATTTGCAATTAGTGTTTATTTCTTCTTTTTCAATGTCCATTGAATTTTCATTATTTTCTCTGGGTGGTGAATTGTCTAAATCTATAATGGCATCTTCTGAAAAATCAGTTGTTTCCATAATTTCTTTATTTTCTAAAGACGAATCTTTATTTTGTTTATCTTCTAATTTACCATTAGTAATTGTTTCTTCACTTTCTTTGTCAATCTCTTCTAAATCTTCACTTTCTTCATCTGAGTCTTTTGAAGATAATCTTCTATTTGGTTTTGGGGTATGTCCAGCATCCAACCCAAAATCTGATTGTGTGGAAGAATAATCATCAATAATGGGAAAATATTCAACCATGTTGTCCTCTTTAAATGTCACACTCTTTCGTTTCTTCTTTTTTTCCACATCCAGTGATTTTCTTTCAATATTTATGCATAGGACTTTAAGAATGTTATGTTTTTTTAGCGAATCTTCAATGTTGATTTCTTTGCTAGTTGCAACATTTTCAGAATTTGTATCTGTATTTCTTAATTTATCTTCATTTTCAGAATCAGAAGAATCAAAAGCCTTGGTTTTGGCACATTTTGTTGGAACATCTGTTTTTTGGTAATTTTTGTTTTCTTCCAAATTAAAGAGATCATCAAAGCTTAAGGTTTCAGTGTCAAAAACAACTTCCATTTCAGAATCTGAAGAATCATCAAAAATACTTTTTCTTTCACCCTTAGTAGGTGAGCTTTTAATTTTGTTGTCACAATCCAAATTTATTGTTGTATCTTCAGAACTGTTTTCTGTATTTTCCTTTTCTAAATCACTTTCTTTACTTAAAGTAGAATCTAAATCTTTTTCAGAGACAACTTTTTTGAATTTTTTTGTAGATATTTTTGTAATGAAGTCACTTGAAGATTCAAATGAAGATTCATCAATTGTTTTGGAATTTCTCGTTGATCTTGTTGGTTGTTCTTCAGAAACCAAGTCAAGTGAAGACTTTTTATCCTGTAATTTTTTCTTATTAATTTTGGGTAAGCTGCTTTTGGATGCGTTGTCGGTATGTTTTGACGAATTTTCTTTTTTGAAAGAACTGGTACTAGTTTTTTTGTTCATAGATTTTTCACTTTCGTTATCCAAAGTATCAGCCTTAGTTCTTCTAGACATTCTTAAAGTTATTTTTTCTGCATCTTTGCTGCATTGCAATTTTAATTTTTCCAAATTTTGTTGTTCCACCAAAATATATGCAATTTTGTTGTATAACTGTTCATCCCCTGTGACCAATTTATTGTCTCTATACAATTTATTTTTAGATAAACATAAGCTATTTAACTTTCTTCTGGTCTTTGGACTCAATGAAGGCATTACTTTTGTTTTATTAATATCGGTTTGATAGTTTATTGCTAGTTTTATTTTATTAACTTGCAACCCAGGCTAAAAACATTTTAATTATATAATGGTTAAGGTTAAGGTGTCTAAAAACCAGTAGATATCGTTTTTTTTTTTCAATGTTATTTTAAGAGATTCCTTATCGAGTTTTAAAATTTCCCATAGGAATAATACAGGGAAATGTTTTTTTAATTTTTTTCTTTGATTTTATGTAGCGATTTTTTATTTAAATGACTAAAAATTCCATTGAGTCAAGTTTCTATCAATTATATTTGACTTAGTAAAAAGACTTATACGCGTTTTAGGAATCTAGAAACTAAACTATTGACTATCGGTCAAAAAGTTAAATTGCAATTTTGTGGTACTTTCCCTACAAAATGGTCTCACAAATTTATTGGACCATTATTAGTAAAAAAAAAGTTATATATCAGGCCGATATTATATATGCAAAGTGTGGCCAGTTTAAGATGGAAACACCACCGTAGCTTTTGTATTTGTTGTGATTGTTACTCTTATGCGTTTTTTATTTTTTTTTAATCAGTGGTTTACCCCTCGATGTACCTATTTTGAAGTATGCCGCGTTCAGAGGCGTAATTATTTTTCTCCTAACCTCCAAAATTTATTTTATTTTTGGTTATAAATATTTAAAAAAAACTTGTCTAAAATAGTTATTAATTGTTTGTTTTTGATAACATTTGGCATGTACTCAATTTGAACCATGCCGAATTCAGTGGCGTACTTATTTTTTTTCCAACCAAACGACCCTAATATTTTTTCCGAATTTTGACATAGAAAAAAATGTTATAGTAGGCATCTCTAGGGTGACATTAAAAATAATTTTTACAGCTTACATAGAGTTTTTATTCTCTATCTTTTGAGCCTTTGTTCATTAAAATCTAGTTCCAAATATAAATGCTACAGGAGTGTTTCCATCTTAAATGGGAAACACTATATTATATTTTCATATTATTAAAATTGTATTTCTAATAAAAATCGGCAGTTTATTCAATCTTAACTTTATAAAATAATCCAGTATCCTACTCCTTATTTCAATTTTTTTTCAATTAAATATAAAGATGGCGACAAGTCAATTAACGTGTCGTAAATCTAATACTAACAGTGTAAAGTGTTATAAGACTTAGTGTGAAGAGTGGTTACACAAGGATTGTGCAGGATGGGTTTGCTCGGATTGTGTTGCCAAAACTAAAAATCTTATAAAAGATGGGAGCCAAAAGTCTGATATTTACCCAAAAGACAAGATGGAATCTGTCCTAATGGAAAATAGGTACCTATTTAAAACTATTAGTAAATAAGCAAGATAAAAATAAACTATTATTTGAAAATAAATCTTTGTTGAAACAAAAAATTACAACACTCGAATTGGAATTTGGGAGCAGGGAAAAAAACACATAAAACAACTACAATAACAACAGAGAATCAAGGAGTAAAGAAAACGAAACCAAATATGAAAAATGTAAATTCAAATTATAAAGATAAATTAATTTCTCACAAGCCAAAATAAAATAACAGTTAATCAATTAAAAATGGAATAGAAAAGGTAATTAATAAGAAAAATGATAAAAACAATGGTTTTAAATAGGTTACACACAAGGAAAAAGCAAAACTAAATACAACTAAAGCAGCTACAGAAAAAGGTAAAAATAAAAAGTTCCATCCAAAATGTACATAGGACGTTTATCTAAAAGTGTCGAAGTACCTGATGTTATAAACTATATAAAAGTAAATGGTAGTATAAATAAAGAATCTTCAGTCAGGCAATTATAATTATCAGCAAAAGGAAAAGCTAAATCATTAAAAGTGCAAATGAAACACCATCAGAAGCAAAAATAAAAAATATATTTTATTTATAAAAAGAAGCAAAAAGTTAGTTATCCTAAAATGTCCTGGATTGCTGTTATTTCAAAGCTTTTTCCGTAGACGTGCAATAGTACCTCCCCTAGAAAACTATATATACTATATTTAAGGCTGTCTATTTTGTTTTGTATCCCTTAAATATTATAGTGCATTATTTTAGGATAACTAACTTTCTACTTCTTTTTATAAATAAAATATATTTTTTATTTTTGCTTCTGATGGTGTTTCATTTGCACTTGATCAGTGATCATACACATCTAATATATGAACTGAACCTTGCTACAATGAAATCTGATATACATGATCTTGTAACTTGTAGGAATTATTCACATAATACAAATGGAAAATTTGATGTTTTTTTGTTATTTTACTATTTGTATTTTTTTTAGTTAAGAAGGTTCGGCAATGGTTTACAAGAGAATTAAAGGAAATGCACTCCCTGCTATGTGAAATGGATAAATTGTCTAAAATAATTAATAATTCTTAATACACTTTGCGTTATAAAAATTTAACAAAAAAACTGTATAAAAATGATATAAAGCTGTCAAAAAAAAAATTTAATGATAAAAAACGAATTAATTCGAATAATATTTGTAAGGAAAGCTGGAAAATTATAAATAACAAAACGAAATATAAAAATTAAAAAAATATCTGAAATAAAATATAATAACAAAATAATAAGTAATTCAAAAAAATTGGTAATAAATTAAATTATACTTTTTTAAATATTTTTAAAGATTATAATTCTTCAAATCTTACGCATAATTATAGTGAATTATAATTCAACTACCCTCGACTTTTTTTAGATTATTTTATCTAAAGCCGGTTACTTGAGAAGAAGTGCAAATACAAGTAAAAAATGAACACCCAGTATTGATTATGTAAATGGAAAAATTCTAAATAAATCAAAAGAATTTCTTTTAGAGTACCTCTCTGCACTTAAGTGTTTAAAATGTGTCCCAATTTATAAAAATAAAGAAAGCAAACCTGACCCTCTAAATTACAGACCAGTAAGTCTTCAAAATCAGTTTAGTAAAATAATAGATACCTTGTATTACAATCCTCTACAGAATTTTTTAGATTCTAACTAACCTTTTTGCATTTCAAAATGGGTTAGGAGAAGTCCACTAACACAGCAATAGAGAGTGAATTAAATTTTATTCTTAAAAGTTCAAAAGAAAAACAGCATTTTGTTGGATTGTTTTATGACCTAAGTCAGCATTTAATACTATTAATCATAGATGAATATTACATAAACTTGAAAATATAGGAGTTAGAGGTGTTGCAAATAAATGGGTAGAATGTTTATTAGACAGAACCCAAGTAGTATCTATAAACGATGAAAAATCGGATATATCCAGAGTAACATTGGGAGTACCTCAAGGATCGATATTGGGGCCACTTCTATTTTTAATATTTGTAAATGATTTGAATTTAAATACAAATATAAATGAGCAACTTTTAATAAAAAAAAATAGTTTTGCTTGTTATTTAATAAAGTCAGTAACATGTTCAGTACTGCGACGTATGTACTTTGGGGTAGTCCAGGCACATCTTGCGTATGACATTATATTTTGGGGTAGCACTTATCATTTTAACAATGTTTTTATAATGGAACAAAGATCCTTGGGTGCATGCATAACAAAAGTGAAACATATTATTGCTAAATATTGTTTAGGAAATACAGAATGTTATCGTTTCCCTGTTTATAGATATTAAATTTAATTTTGACATCATAGCAACATACAGTTATTTAAGAAAAAGTCAAAATGAGCTTTACCACTTTATAGGCTCTCTGCATGTCAAACTTCTTTTATTTATATGGGAATTAAATGTTATAATAAAGTCGTCTTATTGTAAATGTTCCAAGATGTTTAAAAACAAGATTCTGTTTTTAACGATAATTTTTAAGATATTTATCTCTGGTGTTTCTAGTGTTTTTATATATTATTTTGTAATTTGACTTGATTGGTCCAATATGTTTTATATATGCTGTGTGATCAATAAATATTATTATTATTATAATTGTTGAATTACATGTTTTATTTTTTCAGTAAAAATTTGGAGGTATATTCGAATTTTTATATTAATAAAACTATTTGGACATTTTAAAATACAACATAATATACAGTATGCACTGGGTGTCCCACTTAAAATTGACCCCCATTATTTTCCTTATTCTCACTATATTTTTGTTTATAAACTTTTCTTATAAATTTTCATGAATTTAATGAATATGAAATTGTATTTTATTTATCAAGAAAATACAAGGCTAAAATTTGTATTGTATTGTATTTTTAATTTTTTTACAGTTGGATACATTGTTAATAATAATAAGTGCAAAAACACATGATCACTAGTTAAACTAGTTAAACAATAAGCAAGTTATGATTTACTGCTTCGGCATACGCATTTTTACCAGATTAATAGAAAAACATTACACCTTTCTTCCAAAGAATACCCTAAAGAAGTATCGGATTTTCAATAGCATTGTGTGAATTTATGAACAATACATTTAAAGCATAGGAACTGCTCATCATTTTTAAATAAATAGGTAGTTTTTTCACAAAAGAGAGGAAGGCAGAAGTCTTAGTCGACTATTTTTATTCAATTGCACAGCTAAATCGCGCACGTTATTTGTGTTTTACGTTGCAAGGAAAAAACTAAAAAACTAATTCTGTAAGTACATTTGTTGTTGCAGAATATACTAATGATAACTAAACCTAATATAATTTATATTTAAGTTTGGACATTTTTAAGAAATTAGTAAAAAATAATTGTTGCACAAACATTACCTTAAAATTGAACTGCATTTTAAACAACAAAATATACCTACGAATTCATGGCAACATAATATTATATATAATACATAATATAATGGTATTCTACCGTTGATTGGAGACCTTCTTAATCAACGCTTTTAATAATGCTAAATGCTGTTTGAATTTAGACGACTTATTTGTTTGACGATTTTTACTGAATTGAAATGTTTACACTTTTCATGTTAATTTTTACTAAAATGTGTATTTATTGTATCAAATAGATACAATTTATATTTACAGGGACTGTATAAAATTTATTTCTTCATTCGGATTAACACTGTTTATTGGAAAACCGGTAAAAACTCATTTCCTCTCGAAATACACCCAACAACACAACAAATCGAGCCA